TAGCTTTGCTATTATCCTCCTCTTTCCCACCACCTGCACTGAGTCAAGGGGGCAACCCAGGACAGCGCTAATATCACATTACATTGATTTGGCAGGCACTTTAGTACAAAGTGACTCACGATAAGCACATTCAAACCATGTGGGATGTAGATATCATCCAAAATTGGGAGTGTATCCCAAAAACTAGAAATTATATTTAGTGCTACACTACAAATGCTTAGAGAAAACGATGTGAGTACTACCACAGTTTTTGAGTCTAGCCTGTGATAGAAGATGAGCAGTGACTCTGATTTCAGGAGGGGGCTCATTCCATCACCATGGAGCCAGAACAGAGAATATGGCAGCTATGTTTAAAAAAAAGTAGTCATACAGTCAAAAATCACATACAGACTTCTGAATATGCAGGGAAAACATTCCTATATAATTGTGGCCCAGTGTACTAAAATTGAGAAGGAAATCTAAAGCTGTGCCCAGTTCAGGGGTTTGTCCTCTGAAGTCCACACTCCTAGACTGGATGTATCTTAATTGGCAAACAAAGCCTTTTGTTTTGAAAGGATGCTCCCAATGTGGCTTTTTTAATCCAAATTTGAGGGACGCAAGCAGATTTTCCTTTGCAGCCTTCCATATCTCATTTTCCCTTGTGTGCTGGTCATTAACAAAGTGTTTACGTGATCCTGATCAATTTGTACACTTGGAACCTATTTAATCATAAAACACAGTCTGGCTGCTTGGTTCACAACAAAGAAAACTGATACCAACATATGCCTTTCTGTCTTTTGCAAGAAAATATTTTGGTAAATCAGTCCATTTTTCTTCGTATGCTTTGCATTTATTCATGCACATCTTATTTTCAAGTGTATTTTTGTTCAGAAAATAGTGGCCGAGGTTTTGCTCTAACATCAAATCCAAACACATTTTAATCACGAAGGAGTTTCCCTTTACCAGTGTTAGCCAAAAATGTCAGTTTTCTTTGATATGCAAACAGGATTCTTTTTTTTCTGAAAGCATGGAGGCTCACATTAGGGGTCTGTTAGATCCACACAGTTGCCATTAGTAAAAAAAAAAAAAGCTTTGTAAAATGCTGTTTATGAAAGGATCAGCAATGAAAAGAAAGCCTTTAAAATGCTGATAAGGCTCATTGTTTATTTATTTTGCACAGAGAAGCACCAAAACAGATATGTCATTTTTAGTGTCTATCAGGCTACACAGTTTGTTACAAATGGACTGCCTGCCAATAGATTATTCCCCTCCATTAAATATGCTGTAATGCAGGGATACAATAGCTACCACTAAATGCTTCATAAAATAAATGCTTGCTGTGAAGTGGAGTTAATGCCTTTGATGATTATTTCATGAGTCAAATCAGGATAACGGTGTTTCTGCTCGTTTGGTGATTCCAGGCCTCTCAAAGCCCCGAGGAGGCTTCCATCAGTGGAAGAGGCGAAGCTGGAGAGCTCTCATTCTCGTTTTACTCCTCGTTCGATGCAAATGATTCTTCTCCAGCTGACATGTATCAGCGGCTCTGTCTCCTGCAGCATGATGGAGACAAGCTGTCAGGTCGGTGCCCAGCGCGCGCCACAGAGTGATGTATTCATTTAATTTCAGAGTGATGACATGTTGAACGAAGACAGCCGAGCTGGCCAGCCAAACCTTGACTGTTGTCTCCCTTCCTTTCACACATACACACACGTACGTGTAAGTAATAAGCCACTGCTCGACGCGTGCAAATGCAATTTAATGTTGTAGAAAAACACTTCCCTGTGATTCTTGTTAATTTACTGTGTGATAATTGTTTTTGTATTAACACAGCCTGCTGTGTGGGGGGCTGATAGGCAGTCATTAGCTCTGTGGAAAGGTTTGAACTCAGATAGCTGAACCCTACAAGACTGCCCAACAACCTCCCCTCCTCTCAGTTCTTTTGTCTTTGTCTTTTCTTGGTTACAACAATTAATTTTTTCATCTTCATTCTCGTTATATAGGAATATGGCACTATAATTAATGTTTTTTTTTTTTTATTGAAATCTATCCACAGAGACAGTTTATGCCCCAGTCTTATTTTCAAGTGTATTTTTGTCCAGAAAATATTACGTTACATGCAAAAGAAGACATTTCACTAGAAGTAATATGTGCCTGTTAGATGTGAGTTATCCTCACGTGATTTTTTCATGTGTGCGATTTCATGTTTCACATAGTATCTGAAGACCACATGTGAAATGGTGATCCCAAGTGTGAACCTATCGTGACATCACCTACTGGTTTATGGACTTGAGTTTGGCATTATGGATTCGCCATGTTGATCTTTTGCAGCCAACATCAATGATCTATTTCGAGTTGAACTGCACTCACTGGCTGCGCTACTGGTCCGTAGCATCAAACAATGGCTGTTCGCCTGGTCACACACATTCACAGATAAACACTACACTAAGATAGGTTTCTGAAAAGATTTGAGGTGAGAAATAGTAATAGAAATGCAGTCACAGAATCTCAATTAATATTTAATCAGTGCACTGCCTAGTTTGACAGTTTGATCTGCAGTGCGCTGAACGGACTCACTGAATGGCTTGTTATTCACAGGGTAGCCATACGCTTAAGCATAACCTGCTTTATTGTCTATTTTACTCTAAATGGGACCATAATTTACAAAAGGAACATCTCGCTGTATGGAAGAAGACTTGAAACTAGCAATTGAGAACATAAACTCATGGCAAACAATTTACCGAGGCAATAGATTAAGTGAGAAGTCTGGTCCTTTTCTACAACTCTCAATACCATTGGACTTCCTTTTTGCAACCCATGGAGCTGCCCTCTGCTGGCCATTATGAAGAATGCAGGTTTAATGGTTTGCACAATTAGGACAACAAAGTATTATAAACAACACTTTGGTTTTTACCTCCAAGAAAGGTGTTTAGTTAATCTGGATAAATGTTTTAAAAGCTTGTGAACACAATGTTATAACTGATGGAAACCTCCTCTTACTTCTCATATCAAAGACTACACTGTAGTGCTTACATCATGAGATCATATCTTTGAGGACATCAATTCCAGTGTGTACGTCCCCAGTCAGTGTGAAAATTATGTCCTGATATTTTATACTATAATGTGTTTGACGTTTAGATTGTGTTGAGTTCTTACGAGTTCTTCTCAGTTTCATATATTTTCTAAACTGGAGGATGGATAAATCTGCTGCCCCACAGCCCCAATTGATATTCTCTGGAGTGGGTCCACTCTCCCTTTCCATAAATATGCATGAGAGCTGTTGAGCTTTGGTATTGAATGGGCTTGATCCCTGTGCGTATGTGTGTGAGTCTGTGTTTTTGTGCCTGAATACATAGGCATAGGATAGATTCTGGCTAGGTTCGGGTTGTTGGAGAACTGTGTCAGTGTTTTTTTTTCTGTGTGTGTGAATGTGTGTGTGCTGAGGGGCCAGGGGTTCCAGTGTTGGGGTCACTTGCAGCCGCAGGGAAGCTGAAATGTCACAACTGGTTGCCTGCGGCTCTCGGGCTGCTGCTGTCTGTGGCTGGCTGGCTCTTAATTTAGCGTGGCTGATGAGGGTGGAGAGTTGTGAGCAACATGGTGCTGAGAAGAGCTGCAGGTCGAACGCCTGCAGTCACACCGCAAAGTGAGAATAGTGGGTGATCTTTCCTTTCTCTGTTCTGTTAAAGAAATAGACCGGCATCTTTTTACACAAAGCTCAGTAGCTGTTGGTTAAAGTATCAATTTACTGTCCTTCATGTGTTCACACATAATTAGTGTTTGTTCAGAGGGTAATGAAATTGCAGTGTTTTTTCAGGGGTCAGGATGATAGTGCCGTTTTTGATAAATATCGGATCAGCAAAGCAGTGTAGTCTGCCAACACGACTGTTTTTTCTCCCAGACCACAGCTACAGAGAGATTTGTGAGACATCATGACACTTAATTTTCATAGTTTAATCAGTAATATTCATTGCGAAACTATTTGTTTTCTCTGTTAGCAGTGAAATTCTAAGATGAAGTTGGGTATTTGGGTGGTAAGTCTGTTTAAAAATCTGTGTAAAATGTAGTAATTTTTCTAACGTTTACCAACACACTGGCCAGGGTGTCTTAAAAAGAAATAGCTAGATTTCAAAGAAATTTTGCAAATCTGAGTTTGACCTCTTGATTCCTCTTCTATGCAAGACATGTAAAATTCTAATTGATAGATTCATATTTAATTCGCTAATCATGCAGAGGAATAAATATTTCCACTTTAGCACCTCTTAATCTAACTGGTATTCTGACCTAATAGTGGCATTATTTTTCTGTTGATTGACTAATCAATTAATTGACTAATTGTTTCAGAACTAGTTGAGTTTTTCTTTCTCACTCATTCTGAAATAAAAAATATTACATTTTATATATATAGATATGATATAAATCATTTTTTTTTCTGTCAGGACCACTTTTGTCAAAGGAAAACTTTATTTCTGAATGCAGAATGTTATATTTGGTGGTATGGCTCTGTATGGGACCTCTTTGCCCTTCCATGTGCATAGAAGCTCAAGAAACGGAGAGCAGCAGCAAAGACCCCTCATGGTACATGACAACAGAAATTGCATTGATTAATTCAGAAATTTCATAAAAGTAGGGGTGGAGGCTGGTTGCAATGCACGTTGCAGACGAAGCAGCAAGGGTAAGCAGGCTAAAGCAGCTTTAATAAAAATGAATGACATTTGCCAATTGGATGCTTGAAGGAAATCAGTTGAGCTATCAGCTGGTGTGTGTTTACGATCAGCTACCATTAACTGCGATCAGCTGATGTAGCTGAAAATGTGAGCTGAGCTTGACTTTGTGGCCTGCCTGAACTAACACTGTGCTCAATTTTTATTTCTAAAATAAGGTTTTGAAAATACTTCACTAATTGGTTTGTTCTAATCTGTGTGTTTTCCGTGAGTTTTGATATTTCTTTACCCTGAACAGAAACCTTGTCCAGGACACCGAGCTTCTCTGACCTCTGACCTCTGACCTCTTCTCTTCCACTGCAGTTACTTTGAGCTGGAGAGCAGCGGGGTGAGAGAGGAGATCCGCTATCACTACCGCTTCAAAGGAAAGCCTCGCTCCGAATCCTTCCCCTACCGCCTCGCTGACGGCCAGTGGCACAAGATTGCTCTCACCATCAGCGCCTCCCACCTTCTGCTGCACGTTGACTGTAACAGGTACACACACATATGCCACACACAAAAAACACCTTGATATCTCTGTCACAAGTGGTTGTGCCCATTTATTTTTACCCTGCTCCTTTGAAGTGACACATCTAATGAGCTGTCGGTGTTTATCAAGGTAAATATTTGTTCGCTACTGTCTCAGTGTGGATGACAGGCTGCTAACAGTGCCGACAATGAAACATCCAAGGACAAATTAACACACACACACACACACACACACACACACACACACACACACACACACACACACACACACACACACACCTACATACACGTACGTGAAAGCTCTGCATCTTTATATAGCCAAAAGGATGTGTGTTCAGCTCACACTGTTCCATAATGAAGTGGAAGGTAACAATGATATAATCGCCTCATCGATTGGGCAGTGAAGGCCCTTTTCTAAAGGAGCACTCAGTCAGAGCTGATCTATAAACATGCACTTCAGCTGTGACAATCCTTCTCAGTCCTCACACTCCCTCCTGAGAGCCAGGAAGGCATCGCTTGTCTTTTTCCTTAATGCAGCTGCTATACAGACTCACTGTGAACAAGCAGTGTAAATTTGAGTAGAGGATGCTCTGTCACCTCTCACGAATGAAAAGCTGTATGATGCACGGGAGGAATTGCGTTGTAGTATTGATTCTTCCCAAACGCCTATTATTCCCATCAGGCTGGTGGTTTGTCGATTAATTATCGCTGCAGTGGCTGTCTGTCAGATGAGACTCTAGTGAAGATAAAAGAGAGCATCAGCGTGCTATTAGGGAGAAAAGATCAAAACGTAATTGGATAAAATTGGAATCAAAACTTTTTGCGTACTTACAGTTCTTTGGGTGAGAGCTGAGTTAATGAAGAGGTAGTTAGATTGAATGGGTTGGTTTCATACCCTTTATCATCTGTTGGTGGCTGTGTGAGTGGGATGAAACTGAAGGTTGACACTTTGAAAGGGCACTGACTCAGTTTTTATCTCCTGCCTTAAAACACGTTTTTATCGAGTCAACCTCCCTTCTCAGACCAATATATACTGTATCTTGTTGCTTGCATAATACAGCTCTGTCATGATACATCCAGACAAAAATAATATTTTCTCTTGTGTCTGTTTTTGTTGTTTTAATCTCTTATGTATTATTTTTATTTCTTTGTTTCTAAATTATTGTTGTTGTGTCTGTTTGACTCATTTCATGCTGTTGTCAGTACCGTACATACCAAAGACATTATTGTACTGCTATATCATCCATTTCCAGCCCTTATCCATGATAGTACTGTTGATCAGGGTTCAGTAATGTGTATGAAATACAGCTTGCAGCAGGCAGTAGTTTGCAGACATCACACACTGACAGACTACGTTTTAAAATCTGTCCTATGATAAAACACAGTTGACCACAATCGGAATGCTAAAATACCAGCCGCTTCTTAATAAAACAAAACTTCTCCCTGAAGTATTTTACCATAGAAGTACCCTTAAAACGCTTCCCTGATCCGGCTAACCGTCTTTAAAGCTCTCCTCATTAATAAAGCAATCCATTTAACATTTGGAATGATTTCAAAAGTTAAAGTACTGATAAAATAAGATCAAAAATAAGAAACAAGCAGCTGCTAAACAAATTCAAACATGACTCACCAGTTTGCCTTGATACAGTATGAGAAGAACAGATGACAAAAGAATATGCTCTCCAAATCATTCCTTAAATGGCTGAAAAATCTGTTCTCAAAAGTATTTCACTGTATCACCCAAAACAGCTGCATCCAGTGGGTGTTATCTCATACTTTGATGTTCCAAAACAAAATGACAAATCAGCTTTTAAATTAGATGCAGCAATGTACAGTATGAGAGAAATAATCTATTAGTTAAACATTCAATCATGTAAACCTATTCTAGAAGCCCCACAATATAAAAGTATGAACCTGAAGAGCATTATATGTCCTCTTTAATATAATATTTATGTCTTGTTAAAATTGCATTACATTTGATGACTCGTTTAAGACTCAAAGTTATTTTTTTGGCCTTTTATTGGCTTTATTTGATAGTGACAGCTGTAGATAGACAGGAAAGGTGGGCAGAGAAAGGGGATGACACGCAGCAAAGGGCTGCAGGTTGGATTCGAACCCGGGCCGCTGCATCAACTCTGTATATGGGTTGCCAGCTCTGCCAACTGAGCTAACCGGGCGCCCAAGTTTAGGACTTTTGAGAGAGAAAAAAATGCCATGCTTTACTGAATTTGTTTTTCTAAATTAACGAGATACCTCCAGCAGGCCCCCTTTATACGCAGGGCCACCCCCCTGAGCCTAACTCAAATCCCATAACCAGCCAGTGGGCCAAGAGGGCTCTCAGCCCTCTAAGCCTAACTCAAAGCCCTTTACACTGGCGCTCCAGCCCTGAGACCGCTTCCTGTGTTCCCTAGCCTTCACTCCTCTCTGCTGGAGAACCAGCAGGAGGGAGGGAGGTCAATGTGCCTTTTCTCAACTGCCCTCTTCTGTCACCTGGGTGCAGGGACATTGGAAGTCACAGTTGGGGGTGCGCCTGGACGCAGGCGAGAGATGTGACCCACACCCATTCATCATACTTTTTAATAATGCATTACAGTGAGGATACAGAGATTTCATAGAGGAGATGAGTGTATACAATGCAGATCTATCTATCTGTTTGTCACTGTTAATAGAGGCTAATTGCAGAGTAATTAATAGACGTTACTCATAAACCACAGAATTATACATTAACATTAGGCTTCATGAGCCCATGGCTGGGGGCCTGTTCTGGCTGTCCTCTCGGGTCCACACACCTCTGGGTTTGGATGTGTGGACTTTGCAACCACCCGTTTGGAACATGGGAGGACAGCCAAGGCAGGCCCTCGGCTGTCGGCATGGGCCACACCAACCTCCCTATAGTGTAGGTTATAGGGGACACAGAGCCGTGTGCAGGGCTGCTAGAGCTCACTTGATGCTGTCTTAGGGCTGGAGAGCCAGTGTTAAGGGCTCTGGGTTGGTCTATCTCACAATTATGAGAACTTTTCTGAGGTTAATGCAATACGCACCAATGCAAGTGGTCTGTTTGGTGAGCGTTAAAGCTGCAGTAGAGAACTTGAGCATACGCAATGAAAAGCCTTTTGCGTCTCTCTCTGCTGCTCATATCAGTCTATTAAGCCCCTCCCACCAAACCAACAGCAGAGCAGAAGGAGCCGGTTGCCCTGGGAAACCTCATGAGAGGGTTTGCTTTCCAAGGCATGAGCCTCCCCAAGACCCCAGTCTATTTTCACCATGACTTGTATTCTCAAAGACACTCCTCCAGCGCTCTGTGGTCCCAGGACATAGCGCCCCAGGCTTCAGAGGCAGCTGATTGGTTGTTTTCAGTCAGCCTCGGTGGATTCTTGCAAATGTCATTACTAGGCACTAGAAGGAGGCAGGAGATTGTCTGTCTCATGTACTACTGACAGGAATATACTGACTGTTTAAGCAAATATGACGAAAAGTTACTTTTTATAAAAAATACCCACTGCAGCTTTAATTGCTAACTTTTTATGTGCTACTCTGCCGTCAAGTGTTTCTTGGAAGACTAAACTGAGGCAGGTGAGTGTGAGTGTCACCATGGTTACCAAGCCCCTCCCACCATAGATGTACTGGGTTGGACAGAAAGGTCAACTACCTCATCTGCAGCCACTGTCTGCTCTGATCATATATTTACCTGACTGCATTTCACCATGATTTGCAACAGCACCTGCTGGTAAAGCAGTTTCAAATTGTCTATGATTCCTGTCATTTGAGAAACAACAGGGGACTTTAGTCCGATGTAACGCTATAACACGACCCCCACCCCCACCAACACATGGCATCAGCCGACCTGCCACCATTATCTCAAAACCCTTGTCAGTCTGTTCTGTCTGTTTGGTCAAACACAGTTTAAATCACAGCAGCAACAGCAGATAAACTGTTATCTACAGCATTTATGCAGGTTGGCACTTCCCACATGTTGCGTTTGGCTTTTCACTACAAGCACAATGTCATCATCTTAAATCCTTGTTACATGACTAGTGACTGGTATTTACAGAAAGCTTGTGCAGAAAGGATACAAAAGTCTCTCAAATTCTCTTGTTTGGGTTGCCTAAAGGGCTGAAATGAAAATCCATTAAAACAAACTATATTTACTTTAATTTGATCCCGACTTTCAGTAGAGTATGTGCATGTTTTTTTCATCCTCAATTCTTAACCGATAAAGCTTGTAATTCAATGCTTTTGTACAGCTGATAAACACTGCAGTGAGCAGAATATGTCCAGAATTACCAATCAGACTTTCCCAGAGGGCACTAATGAGGATGGTTTACATGAGGACTGGATTTAGATTAGTAACAAAGAGTTGCCAGATTCTTTTTTTGATTTGCATACTGATTAGGTTTTGGTGTGTGTGTGTGTGTGTGTGTGTGTGTGTGTGTGTGTTTCCCATGTTTTTCAAGGTTTTTGTAGATAACTAACGCTGATGAAATTATCCCCCAAAATTTAGACTTCCAATTGTATTTTTTACCCTAGATGTTCTCTCACACTGCTTTGACAGAAACCAAGTGGATTTGGCTTGGTTGACAAGAAAAGTAAAGAAAGAAATAGAAAATTACGTCCCTGCTAACCTGATCATCTCACTCCTCTTAAGTGTTGGGAATGATTTCTCCATTCAAAGCAAATTGGCAGACCCATTAGCCTTGAAATTTAGAGCAATTTGATTTATGCACTAAACAGCACTTTATTGATTTCAAGGCTCATTAAATGGTTTTAAGTATCCGTAAATGTGAGAGGGTGCAGTTTATCCTCACATCTTAAGGTGGACTTTTACCATGTAGAGTTTATTTGGCATTGGCAGCTCTTGCTTTATTGATGCCTGTTTCACACCCATACTGGGACATACACGCATCGATGTGATAAGTGGACAAAGGTGACTCTACATATTGAATCAGCAAGGCAAGTTTATCTGTACAGCACATTTCATGCAAAAAGGCAATTCAACGTGCCTCACC